TGCGCTTTCTCCTCCTCCCCCCCCCCCCCCCCCCCACACACACACACTCCAGTCCTGCTGGATGGGGTGCTAAGTGAGCAGTTGGGTGGGCATTTGGCTGTTAGCCAAGGCTAACCCATCATGATTTTATATTATTTAATTCAATCAAAATCTCCTCACCTAAAAGGCTAGGAATTAGAGGAATCCAAATAAAAAAGGTCATTTTATATTAGAATTACAGTACTTCACCGTGAGTGTGCTGTAAACCCCAGAAAATTTCACTGACAAGTGTGACAAAGTTGCAGGTCTACCAAAGCAGAGAAACTTAAAATCTCCAAGTTTTTAGAATCACAGAATACTCTGAGATGAAAGGGACCCACAAGGATCACCAAGTCCAACTCTAAAGTGAATGGCACGGCCCATATGGGGATAAAACCCACGACCTTGGGGTTATTAACACCATGCTCTAACCAACTGAGCTAATGCTTTTGCTATTTTAATTTCTGGAAAACCAAGTCCAAATAAGCTTGTGATCCCCTTTAAAAAGTATTTACTCACAGTGTATGAGGTGGTATGTTGCTGTATGAGTGCCTATGGGTAAGAATCAGGGGGAAGGCTCACAAGGCAGATATCTTGGTGGGATTCTGTTACAGACCAGCCAACCAGGACAAAGATGCAAATGAAGTCTTCTATAAGCAGCTCTCTGATGTTTCATGATCACTAGCCCTTGTACTTGTGGGGGACTTTAACTTGCTGGATGTCTCCTGGAAACTCAACACAGCAGAGAGGAGTCAGTTTTTGATTCTTGGTAAAGTAAGGAGGGGGGCGTCAACAAAACCTAGGCCTTGGACTTCCGGATGGTGGACTTTGGCCTGTTCAAGACACTGGTTCAGAGAGTCCCCTGGTAAACAGTCCTTAATAACAAAGGGGTCCAGGAAGGCTGGACATACTTTAAGAAGGAAATCTTAAAGGCGCCAGGAGCAGGTTGTCCCTCTGTGCTGAAAGACGAGCTGTCGGGGAAGAAGACTGGCCTGGCTGAACGGGGATCTTTTGAAGGAACTCAGGGGAAAAAAGAGGGTTTATGACCTTTGGAAGAAGGGGCAGACAACTCAGGAAGAGTACAAGGATGTCGTTAGGTCATGCAGAGAAAAAATTAGAAAGGCGAAAGCTCAACTAGAACTCAATCTGGCCACTGCTGTGAAAGATAATAAAAGTGTTTTTATAAATACATCAACAGCAACAGGAGGGCCAAGGAAAATCTCCATCCTTTATTGGATGCAGGGGGGAATATAGTCACCAAGGATGAGGAAAAGGCTGAGGTGCTTAATGCCTTCTTTGCCTCAGTCTTTAACAGTAAGACCGGTTATCCTCAGGGCAATCAGCCCCCTGAGCTGGGAGACAGGGACAAGGAGCAGAATAGACCCCCTGTAATCCAGGAGGAAGTAGTTAGTGACCTGCTGTGCCACTTAGACACTCACAAGTCTATGGGGTTGGATAAGATTCACCTGAGGGTGCTGAGGGAGCTGACTGAAGAGCTCACTAAGCTGCTCTCCATCATTTATCAGCAGTCCTGGCTTACTGGGGATGTCCCAGATGACTGGATGTTGATCAATATGATGCCCATCCACAAGAATGGCCAGAAGGAGGATGCGGGGAGCTACAGGCCTGTCAGCCTGACCTCAGTGCCCGACAAGGTTATGGAACAGATAATCTTGGGTGCGATCACACGGCACATACAGGACAACCAAGGGATCAAACCCAGCCAGCATGGGTTTAGGAAAGGCAGGTCCTGCCTGACCAACCTGATTTCCTTTTATGACCAGGTGACCCGCCTAGTGGATGAGGGAAAGGCTGTGCATGTTGTCTACCTGGTCTTCAGTAAAACCTTTGATACTGTCCCCCATGGCATTCTCCTGGAAAAGCTGGCAGCCCACCGTGTAGGGGTAAATAACCCTTTTCCAGAAGATTTTGTTACCGAGGAGTCAATTATTTCACTTAGGAAAGGCTTCCCTTGCCACTTTCTCAAAACAATGCTGTTCTCTCCCCCCTCGCATTCCAGAAGTTCACTCTCTGATATGTGAGGAGAGAGCAGATGCCACAGGCCTTCGCATTCCAGCGGGGAGAGAGGGGGGAGCAGAGATAATAAAAACTTGACGTTAAAAACAGGAGGTGCCTTTTCCCTGAGGCCCAGTGCTGCCTGGCAGCACTGTGAGGTTTTTGTAAGTTTTTAGTGTCCTTGCCTCCGAAATAAACCTTTTTGAACCCTTGCCATTGCCTTGGCATTTTTGGGGAAAGTACCTGCATATATTTTACCTTACACACGACTTGGACAGGTGCACTCTTCGCTGGCTGGATGGCTGGGCCCAGAGAGTGGTGGTGAATGGTGCTGTATCCAGTTGGTGGCTGGTCACTAGTGGGGTTCCCCAATGCTCAGTATTGGGGCCAGTCCTGTTTAAGTAAGTTTACCATACAACACCAAGTTGGGTGGGAGTGTTGATCTGCTGGAGGGTAGGAAGGCTCTGCAGAGGGATCTGGACAGGCTGAATTGATGGACCGAGGCCAATTGCATGAGGTTCAACAAGGCCCAGTGCTGGGTCCTGGACTTGAGTCACAATAACCCCATGCAACGCTACAGGCTGGGTGAAGAGTGGCTGGAAAGCTGCCCAGTGGAAAAGGGCCTTGGGGTGTTGGTTGACAGTCAGCTGAACATGAGCCAGCAGTGTGCCCAGGTGGCCAAGAAGGCCCACGGCATCCTGGTCTGTACCAGAAATAGCGTGGCCAGCAGGACCAGGGAAGTGATTGTCCCTCTGTACTCGGCACAGGTGAGGTTGCACCTCAAGTACTGTGTCCAGTTCTGAGCCCTTCCATTACAAGAAGGACACTGAGGGGCTGGAGCATGTCCAGAGAATGGCAACGAAACTGGTGAAGGGTCTAGAGAATAAGTCATATCAGAAGCGGCTGAGGGAGCTGGAGTTGTTTATCCTGGAGACGAGGCTCAGGGGAGACTTTATTGCTCTCTACAACTACCTGAAAGGAGGTTGTAACAAGGTGGGGGTTGACCTCTTCTCCCAATCATCTAGAGATAGGACAAGAGGAAGTAGCCTCAAGTTGTGCCAGGGGAGGTTCAGGTTGGACACCAGAAAGAATTTCTTCAGGGAAAGGGTTGTTAAGCATTGGAACGGACTGCCCAGGGAGGCAGTGGAGTCACCATCTCTGGAGGTGTTCAAGAAATGACTGGACGTGGCACTTAGTGCTATGGTCTTAAGTTGACAAGGTGGTGATTGGTCAAAGGTGGGACTCAATGATCTTAGAGGTCTTTTCCAATCTAAATGATTCTGTAATTCTGTATGAGTGAAATTTAGGTTTGAATGTTTAACTGCTTGCAGTTGAAAACAAATGCTTTAACATTAATCCACAGAAGAAGAAAAAATATGACAACTTATCTAAACCAAATTCTATACTAACATATTATTCTGTAATAACATACTAGTAAGAAAAAATTCACTTCATCCATGCTCTAAGCCAAGTCTGATCAGCATGAGTGAACTGTGTTTGCTCAGCGTGGAATAGAGAAGGCTTTTGTGGGGGAACTTAATAGTAGCCTTTCAATAGCTCCGAGGAGGTCATCAGCAAATGGAGCCAGAGTCTTCGCAGTAGTCTATAGTAGGAAGAGGAAAACCAATAGGCAGATACCGGAATAAGAGGTGCTCCAAGTGAATATATATCAATAGCTGAGCATCAGAACAGGCTGCTCAGAAAGGCTGTGCAGTCTTCAGCCTTGGAGACTTGAAATCAGACTTGATAAATCCATAAGCAACCCAGTCTGATTCAAACTGTCCTTCCTTTAAGCAGGAGGTTGGGCTAGAGACCTCTTGAGGTCTCTTCCAACCTGAATTACCCTACAATCCTATGAATAAACTTGAAGTCTTAGGTCTACTATAATTCCTCCAACTACCTAGATGAAACAATAATAAATTAAGTGTTGACAGAAGTCACAACACTGTTAGATAGGACCAGGTCTTTGACCAGGTCTTTGACGTACAGACAAAGAAGAGCCGGGAGACATGGGCAAGGATTCAAACATGGATGTGTTTTGTCTGAATGACTTCACTCTTTGAACTGTGTACCCCTAACACATATGAGTGAAAGTATTATTAAACATGTGAACGTGCTACCCAGGGAAATTGTGGAGTCACCATCCCTGGAGGTGTTCAAGAAGTGACTGGACATGGCACTTACTGCCATGGTCTAGTTGAAAAGGTGGTTAGTCAAAGTTTGGACTTGATCTCAGAGGTCTTTTTCAACCTGAATGATTCTGTGTTTCTGATTCTCTAACACCTTTTTATGGATGGGGTTTCCAAGCTGATACCTTTCTTGTATACAGTTGTTATGACCCGCCCCAGAAAAAGGTAGGGGGGTAACCCAGGTTCTTATCAATAATTCCCTTGGGGTGGATTAGAGTGAAACGACACTGAATAATCAGTGTCTGAAAACATATATTGGTAAGGTTTATTTTAACAATTTTGTATCAACAGGTATGCTAGCATTTTGGGTGTTGTCATATAACAACGTGGCATAGAGATAACCTTTGGGGGAATAACCTTTGGAGGGGGGAGAAAATGCATAGGGGAGAGAAAGACAGGATAAGAGTAAGGGAGAGTAAGGAAAAAGAAGAGAGTGGAAAAAACATATATAGTCACTGCCCACGGGGTCCAGCGATGACACTTGGTAGTTGTCGCTTCCATGTCTGTCAGTTGAAGTGGTGGCCTTGATCTGCTGGGGGTGAAGGAGGGAAGCCCCCATACGCCAAGAAGTTATGAGTTATTATATCCATGGTTAGTGTTCACGGGCCATGCCTTGAGCCTCCAACCTCTCCCTGGGCCTGCGCAGAGTTTTTCTGTGTCTGGCCTGGTTCAAGATTGGCAGAGGGGGGGATGGGCTTTGATGGGCCATCAGAATATATATATGCAAAAGTCAAAAGCCTGCAAACTTGTCAAAAGCCTGCAAACTTGGCTCTTCACTGGAGGGAGGGACGGGCCCAACTGCCCATCAGAGGTACAATGCAAAGGTCAAAATCTTGCAAGAGTCTCCTAGAATGCGTAAATCATCAACCATTTCAGTCTCTGACAACAGTCCAGAAGCATGGATGAACTGTTTAGTGGAACTATTAATCACAAGCATAAATGACAGTCAAATAAACATACTGCTGAAAAGGTACCTTTAAAAAGTATCAAGCTTATATATTGATATGGAAATAAGGTGGTTTTGTTCTTTCACCCTTCAGCTTTTATTTTGTGAACTAAATTAACCGAGCATTGACTATAAGGGTAATATCGGAAGAAAAGGATTTAATTCAAGTGAAGAATATAAGTAATAAGATTTTTTTACTTCTAAGATTGCACCTGTTCTTGTAAGTACTAGAGTAGTACTATTAAGATGTGACTTTGATTAAATCTTCAAATGAGGACATTCAGAAATTTCACTTCTTAAGCTTAAATACAGGTTTTGCATAGATATGTCTTTCTCACTTAAAGGAGAAAATCAGAAAACATTTGTTGTACTTTGTTAAAATGCTTTGACCTCAATGCAATGGGTATTTTGGCTACATTTTAAAATTGATCTGTTCATCAAGTCATATCCAGTTGAAATGAAATTTGATCTTCTTTTTAGTGTGTACAACTTAAACAGAAAAGAGAATGAATCCGTACTGTCAAACTGACAGTAGTAAAAGCATGTTCAAAGTCATCTTAATATTTGTAGCGTATGAATAAGTAAACATTGAAGTTACAAGGAAAATAGTGGTTTGGTTTAGATTTGCATTTAGACGAAATCTAAACAAAAGTGTTTTATGATGCTTTGAGGTGTTGAGACTCTTATAAAATACCGTCTTCAGGTTAATGCTCATTAAACACTTCTGAAATTAAATTATAGTATTGTATGCCTAAAACTCTTAATTTTTCTTTTAAAAATCCTTTTATTCCCTTACCTGTTCTGTTTTCTCTTGTCAAGCCTTTGAGAGTCTTAAAGTCCATATAAAGAGCCAAAAGCTCTTACTTGAGTATTTGCAAAAAACCTAATCAAAGCTTCATTATTTGTTTTGTTATACTTAAAATCCAGTGATTTAAGGTAAAATCTCTGCACTGTAACCCAAGTGCAATTCAACTCAAAATGTGTCCAGTATATGTTACCAAAGTTAGGTATACTGCTTAACACTTGAACTCATATTCTAGAAGAGCCCTGTGTATCCAATGTGAATGTTTTAATAAAAAACCAACAGATATTTTAAAGCTATGCTTTAAAACAAATAGTAGCACTAATTGTTAAAAAA